GCTGAGGCAGGAGACTCGCTTGAGCCCAGGAGTTGGAGGTTGCTGTGAGCTGTGATGCCATGGCACTCTACCCAGGGGGACAGCTTGAGGCTCTATCTCAAAAAAAAGAAAAAGAAAAAGATAGGATACTAGAGACTTTCCAGACCACTGATCATTTCAGATGCCCAATTTTACAGATTCTCAGAGATCACTCAAGTTAATTAGTATTCAAAATTAACATCGGTCTTAGAATATATTAAAGATGATTTAGAAAGACTCAGGAAAGTTCCCTTCCACCTGAAGCCCAATATACATTTACTTGCACAAATCCACATGGAGCATTTTTCTTTAGCCATTAAAATAGTTTTGGGGCTCGGCGCTTGTGGCTCAAGCAGCTAAGGCACCAGCCACGTATACCTAAGGTGGCAGGTTCAAATCCAGCCCGGACCCGCCAAACAGCAATAATGGCTACAACCAAAAAATAGCCGGGTGTTGTGGCGGGCACCTGTGGTCCCAGCTACTTGGGAGGCTAAGGCAGGAGACTTGCTTGAGCCCAGGAGTTGGAGGTTGCTGTGAGCAGTGAAGCCATGGCACTCTACCTAGGGGGATAGCTTGAGGCTCTGTCTCAAAAAAAAAAAAAATAGTTTTGGAAGGCTGGGTGTGAAGGCTCACACCTGCAATCCCAACACTCTGAAGGCCAAGGTGGGTGGATTGCCTGAGCGCACAGGTTCAAGCACAGCCTGAGCAAGTATAACACCCTGTCTCTAAAAAATAGCCGGGCGTTGTGGCAGGCACCTGTAGTTCCAGCTACTTGGGAGGCTGAAATAAGAGAATGGCTTCAGCCCAAGAGTTTGAGGTTGCTGTTAGCTGTGACGCCACGGCACTCTACCAAAGGTGACAAAGTGAGACTGTCTCAAAACAAAACAAAACAACAACAAAAACAGTTTTGAAAGGAAATGATTGAGACATAAAAAGTTTTGAAAAGGGTGATATAAAGTATAATAGACAACTATATTAGAAAGACACACACCAAAATACCATCGACTGGTGAGAATGCAGGTGATTCTTATTTCTTTATAGCATGGTAGGTATATTTTGTATGTCTATAGTAAATACATCTAGAACTTATTTACATGATGAGCCAGGACAGGGAGTTAGGAATATAACTGAAGACAGACATAGATTCTCCCTTTGTGAAGCATCTCAAGCCATTAAATCTCCTGTCCATGGTGGCCAACAAACCTCCTCTTAGCACCTGCCACTAAATCTCCTGTCCACGGAGGCCGATAAGCCTCCTTTCGGCACCTGCTCCTTTCCCCTCTGAGCGCTAATGTGCTGACTGTGCTCCCACCTGGGGCTCAGTGATGCTTGGATTTCTCCTCCCCATCCCCTTTGCTGGCTCCCCTCCATAACCAGGCTCATTCTCCAGGGCTCCAGATTTTCTCTCCCTTGCCCCGACTTCTTCCCAGACCCAACTCCAGCGACTGCTTCTGCCAGGCTGATGGGCAACTCCAGAGTATTGATCTTGACTGTTCCAGATGCCCAGGCCCCTGGATTTTCCTCCTGTGTGCCATCCCCATTTGCCTCCTGGCTGCTCTAGTCCAGCTTCTCTCTACCCCACAGCCTCCTCCATGACCCTCTTGCCCTGTTCCTCCTTGACGGTCTTACCACCTTCACACACCCTTGACCAACAGTCAGAAAACACTCCCAGTGTTACTGATAACCCAATCACAAACTGTTACAGAAACAGTTAATAAGTAATAAACCACATACTGATGAAGAGCATGAGGTCCCTCACAGCATCTCCAAGCATACCCCACGCTCCCCATGCCCCAGCCCTGCCAGGGGGAGTCCTGGCTGTCTTGCTCCTCCCTCATGCTTATTCATGACCCGGAATCTTCTCTCCCGATGTCTCCCTTTCCTTGTCTCTCTACCTATGACCTTGTCACTGGTCAAGCCATCCCCTATCATCACACACACACCAATCTAGACATCAGGAATGCAGGCATTTTTATTTCAGATTAAAATAGGTCCTTTATAAGCACACTTTTTTTGTTTTTTTCATTTTTTTTTCTAGTATGCTATCTCAGTGTGGGTGTAACAGTGCACTGCATCTAACTGCCATACATTTTTAGCCCTGGAAACTTTTTTTTTAATTGTTGGGTATTCATTGAGGGTACAAAGAACCAGGTTCACTGCTTGTATTCGTTAGGTAAAGTACCTCTTTTAATTGTGTCTCACGCCCAAGAGGTGTGCCGGACACTGTGACTGTGGCCTCCCACTCCCTTCCTCCTTCCCTCTCTCCCCTCCCCCATTCTTCCACCCACTGCCATGAACTAGCATAGTTGTCCTTTTATCAGATTTGAGTACATGGATTCTTGCTTCTCCATTCTTGTGATGCCTTTCTAAGAAGAATGTGTTTCAGGCTTGGCACCCGTAGCACAGTAGTTAAGGTACTAGCCACATATACCAAGGGAGCTGGGTTTGAACCCAGCCCAGGCCTGCTAAACAACAATGACAACTGCAACAAAAAATAGCCAGGCGTTGTGGTGGGTGCCTGTAGTCCCAGCTACCAGGGAGGCGGAGGCAGGAGAATCACTTAAGTCCAGGACTTTGAGGTTGCTGTGAGCTGTGATGCCATGGCTCTCTACCAAGGGCGACATAGTGAGACTCTGTCTCAAAAAAAAAAAAAAAAAGAAGAAGAAGAAGAAAACAAAAGAAGAAGAATGTGTCTCAATTCCATTCAGGTTAATGCAAAATATGCAAAGTCACCATCTTTTTTGTGGCTCAACAGTATTCCATAGTATACACATATCACAGCTTGTTAATCCATTCCTGGGTTGGTGGGCATTTATGCTGTTTCCACAATTTGGCAACTGCAAATTTAGTTGCAATAAACAGTCTAGTGAAAATGACCTTATGATAAAAATGACATTTTTTTCCCTTCTGGGTACATGCCCAGTAATAGGATTACAGGATCAAATAGGAGGTGTAGTTTGAGTTCTTTGAGGATTCTCCATACTTCCTTCCAAAATTGTATTAGTTTGCAGTCCCACCAACAGTGTAAAAGTGCTCCTTTCTCTCCACATCCATGCCAGCATCTACAGTTCTGAGACTTTGTGATGTGAAACATTCTCAGTGGGGTTAGGTGATATCTCAGGGTGGTTTTAATTTGCATTTCTCTGATAATTAGGGACAATGAGCATTTTTACATATGTTTGTTAGCCATTCCTCTGTCTTCCCTAGGTAAGGTTCTATTCATCTCACTTGCCCATATGACATAAGGGATTGTTGGCTCTTTTCATGTTGCTAAATTTGAGTTCTCTGTAGATCCTAGTTATTAAGCTCTTGTCCAATTCATAATATGCAAATATCTTTTCCCATTCTGAATGTTGTCTATTTGCTTTGGTTGTTGTCTCCTTAGCTGTATAGAAGCTATTCAGTTTAATTAAGTCCCATTTAGACAAGACTACTTACTTCCTGGCAAAGCCAGATCTTATTTGGTTAAAATAGAGCTGCTACAATACCATCTCCCACTTGTTAAAACTAGAAGGAGGACACCAGGGCTATCTGGCATCCAGTTTTCCCTCTCATGGGCACAAAGTATTTGCATCCACCAAAGAGCTCCTTACATGTAGGCTGCACCTTCCACCAGGCGGGGAAACTCACTGCCTCGCCTGGGCACTTCAAGTGACACAGAATGTCTCTTGGGGCCGCAGACACATATACTTATCAACTCAACTCTCATCAACTGTTTTCTGTCAAAAATACAGTACCACAACCTGAAAAATTCAAGAGTCTCATAAAACACACCATATCCATCTCACTGTGATTAAACTAACAGTTGAAGAAGGCTTCAAGTTGCCCAGCTGCTAAAATTGCCTATTTCTTGCCTAACGTGACCAGGAACAAAGAGCCTCAATCACTGACACTACTTGGACTATTTTATGGACAAGTTTCTTACTTGGGAGTGATCACTCGAGGTTTCGATCTTCTCCTGGGACTTGTCTCTGGCTACTTTGGCAGCTTCTTTTACCTCCTGGAATTTCTCTGCAAACTGAACAAGAAGAATTGTTATGAGGCTTTTGTTAGCTTCATTCATAGCTGATACTCAGAACCCACGTTCATTATTCTGCTCCCATTTAAAACCAATAAAATCTGCATAAATACAGAAGAATTTCATTTGATATTAAAAAGAAATAAATATAAAAACTGCTTTTTCCAGTAAACACTATTAGCTGAGGTCAGACCTGATCTGATTTTTACTAATACTAGTTTGATGATGAAATATTAAAAAAAACTCCATAGCCTCAGATGAACAGTAACTAAGAGAAAAGCAACAAATGAATTAAACTATACCACAGAAGGAATCCATAAAAAATTTCAAATTCTATGTTGATAAGATCCAAAAACTTCTATAAGTCAATGTCATAAAAAATAGAAACACTCAAAAAGTTGGGGGAGAGGAATTGTACTAGATTTTCATAGCTTACGGTATAAAATAGTAAAACGAAACATAGAGCCTATGATTGGGTCCTGTTCTGAATCATGAAAGACTTCTGGGCACAAATGAGTAAATCTGAACTGGATATTAGATGTTATCAATATTATTATTTTGTAAGATGTGCTAATGATGTATGTATGTTGGAAAATGTTCTTTCTTAGAGATGAATCCTAACGCTTTGGCATAAAATGTCTTAATTTAAAGTAGTTCAACAATAAAATAGATGAAGAAATGTGGTAAAATACTAATAACTGTTAAATCTAGGTAAATGTTCAATACTATTTTTATTTAATATTTCTATAATAAAAAATTCTTAAAATCCCAAGGCAATCATATCAATCACTAGCTTATAGTCACTGACAAGGTAACTTATTTTACTAGCAAGTTTATTGTTTGAGCAGAGAACAGCCTCTGATGGACAATGCTCATATGTATTAATACATTGACTGCCACACTAGAAAAAACATTTTTTTCCTTGGGGCCACAATGAGTTATTATGAAAACAGAATAAAAATTTCAAAAACAAAATGAACCTTTCTAATTTAATGAAAAATGTGTTATTTGTTGTTTTCAGTGTGTGAGTTATACATAACTCATATGGCACTAGCATCAATTTTTACACTACAAGCCACATGAGTTGTATATAACTTACTTACAACATACTTACTGAATTTGTTACTGAGAATTAAGCCTTTTGTCATCCCCTAAGTATTTAGCTGTGTTTGGAGTGGACCTTGGGTGGTCCTGCACCAATGTTATATCATGGTATACGACCATATCGATTTTGATTTCACTCAAAGAGCAGCCAGGCAAACATTCAAGAGGAAGTGTGCAATCAGGAGTTCTGGTAATTGGAGAGCACAGCCCAGCATTTGTGGCTTTCTTAGGCGGGGAGCTGGAGCAGGGTGGCAGGAGGGAGAAGAAATGGCCAACTGACAGAGAGGCAGACAGCAGAGGTTCCACAGTATGTGGGCCTGCTACGGACCTGCCCCTCTATCCACCAGTTCTATATGCTTCATAAGGCCCTAGGCTCAAAACTAGTGTGAGTTAAATACAACTTACATAGCAACGAATATGTTTAAAATCAAGAGAGAGATAAACGCAGTTAGTGGGGGGGGGGGGAAGCTAGCAAGTGGCATGGCTACTGACAATTCTATGGGTTTTGTTAAGAACCATTTATTTCTGAACACAGGCTCCCCCTGAGCGTCTTCACAGTGCCTGCAACAGACACCGGGGAAGCTAGCACCCTGTCTCGTCAGCCTTTCTGTTCTGGCCTGATGGCTCCTGAAGGTCCTATAAATAAAGCTGCAGCCATAGGGCTCCATGTTTAATTGTTCCAAGACTGTCAGAGGAGAATCACATTACCTGTGAAGGCCGGCAGGGATGGACAAAGTTACCCTCCCTCCTTTGGGGAGACCCCTTAATTAAAAACATCATACTGTGAACTCCTTGTTGGCAAAACACACACCTTTCCTCTCTGCACCCTTCTCCCACCCCCAGCAGAAAGCAGGAACAGTGTAGATAAGTCTGTTTAGTGAATGAACGGAATCTGAGTTCTGGGCTTCCATGCCCCACGTGAAAGACCTGGCTCTTGTCCTCAAAAAATTTTTGAGTCTGTGGAGAAGATTGTGCCTACAATCAAACAGGTGAGAAGCAAAAAGAAAATTTCAGACAATAAGCTTAAAATGTAGTAAGGTAAGATAAGCCCTATTATATATATTTTAAATAAACAATCATTTAATGAGATATGGTATTAGTAGATGTATGATGAAATAGAACAGTGAGAAATGGTTCTCACCACTGTACACAAGTCACTTCATTACAAAGAAGGAATCAAACGTTGAGGAAGATTATTCAACATACGATTGAGATAACTTTAGTAAATGGGGGGGAGGTATGAATTTAAATCCTTAACTGCAAATTTGCAGCATGACAAATTACTGATGGGTTAAAAAGCTGGCTCGGTGCCTGTGGCTCAAGTGGCTAAGGCGCCAGCCACATACACCTAAGGTGGTGGGTTCAAATCCCCAGCCCGGGCCC